GAGAGAGAGAGAGAGAGCGCTAGCTAGCTAGCTAGCTCACCTTGGCGTCCATGGTATGAGCCCATTGGCGTTTCTCGCAAAGGCGTAGCATTTCATTGCGCTGGGCAATGGTACCGATAAGAAATCTTGCATGAAACGAGAAGAAGAAAGACGGAGAGAAAATAGTCGCTGCGACAGTGTCATTTGTTGTTGTGGCTATTTGTATCCTTCGACCGTGTCGTAACGCCGCAAGAGCGTTTTATGCACGCTGCAAAACAATGCGCGTAACCCTGTTAAAACTGTTGACGTATTTCGCGTTATTGTTACACGCCTTATTTTCGTTAATTTTACGCAGGAGGTGTCGCCGGCTGAAAGGGGATGAATTATATCTATAAAAGATTATTGAAATAAGACACAATTCGATAAAGGCGAATATAGAAACACGAACCAATTTTTATTCTCATCAATGTTTTAGAAAATTATTTTTGTATCGTTTTAAATCAATTTTATAAGTGTCATCTAATCTAATATATCTGCATTCCTTCTTTCTTAGCTTTGTTTAATTTTAACATAAATGTGCCATCCATTAGCAGATTTTCGTCATTGAAACCATGAATATGGAAAACAGAATGCTTGTTTGGTATGCTGATACATTGCTGAATCACATATATCAGGCACTCAACGGACTATATAACATGCCAAACATTATGTATTCGAGGTTACTGCATCAAGGGCTGTAATCGTAAAAAAATTACAGTAATTGAATGGAAAGAAAAATATAGGTGTAACATTAACATTGAAATTATCGTTTTTATTATTGTTAATTTTATAATGCAAATAGACATTAAAAAACAAGTAATTAATATAAAAATTAAATTAATTTTAAACGTTCAATGTATAAGCTGAGACTGAGTGCTTTCCATTTAGTGACATAAGTCAACACAAGTCGACACAAATATCGTTCTATCTTTCTTGGCTTTCAATGATAACAAGGACAAAATAATACTTGTGTCGACTTGTGTCACTAAATAAAAAGCACTCAATATGTTCAATAGAAAAGATTACAAGCAATATTCGACAGACAGGATTTTAGACAGACATGTCTAATAATTTTTTTTTATCTTTTAAATTTATTTTTTTTAACAAATTCAAAATAATTGTTTATGTCACGAGACATATTGTTGTTATAACGAGCTTATAACGTAACCGCTTAAAAACAAAGTTAAACTTTCCCCTTTTTTCTCCACAAAAAATTCTTATTTTAGATTAATTTTATTTTATCAGAGAACATTCTTGTTTTGCTATGCTGAATTATCATACCTTATATTATCAATTTTCCCAGAAATGGGGAATTTCCCAAACGAAAAAGCAGTAAATCGACATAAAATTGAAGAAAATTCTCCAATTTGATTAATTTTGTTAAAATATTTCGTTTATTTTTGTTATTACGTATAATAATACTATGTGTGTATATCTCTCTTTTCCTCTCTTTCTGAAAAATTCTCTGCAGCAAGCCGAGCTGTTTCGCGGTATCGCGCGTCGACGGTGCAAAAATATGCGTGTCGTTTTATGGTAGGCATATCGATGCCCGCAGGCGCATCTGCATCGAGAAAACACGGCGTGGCGGTCGACGATGTGCGCGCGCGGCTTTAAATATTTCATTTACTCGGCAGAATTTGCTCGGCGAGAAATACGATTCGTCGGCACGCGCCATAAATTCTTATCGGCTTCTTTTTAACAAGAGCTATCCTTTTCCTTCTTTCTTCTCAAGTCTTCAAGTTTGGTCAATCCTCCTCTTGCAATTTTTCAAGTCAAGGCGTCGCCTCGATTGTGCATACCGAGCACGATTAGTCGCTTCATTGTACATTACGCAATACAGAAGTTATGGAAAGGAGAAGAAGGGAAGGAGAAGGAAAAGAAGAGAGAAAAAGGAGAGGAACATTAATCTCGTGATTTGCGCGTGCATGTATGCGCGAATACATGGCTGCCGATGAATAAACAAACGCGTAGGTGCCGCGAATGCGCAGCGAAAGCGCGACTTGAGGAATGCCGCGCCTGCGTAGCTGGAAAAAATCCGGGACATCCTTATGCAACATCGTGCGTATGAGTGATCGAGTAAAGGAAAAATAAAAAAGAATCTTTTTACTCATATATAAATTCACGCTTGAGGTATTTCGCTATGATAAATAATCACATATGGAATTTACGTCTCGAATGTAATCTGAATCCTTCGTTGTCTCTTTTCATGATTCGAATATGACACGATTTATCGTATTTTTTACTGTAATTTGAAAAAAGTAAAGGATTTTTTTAAGAATAAATTTAATAGCAAATAAAATTTAAATGATTAATTCAATAATTAAATTCCTAAAAATCTGTTTTAATAATATATTAATTTACAAAATGTACATTAATTTTTTTTAAATATTGAATTTATATTTGAATATGCGTATAAATGGACAGCAGAGGACTGCGGGGGGGGGGGGAGAGAGAGAGAGAGAGAGATATTGCCGTGCGTAGTCGTCCGACACTAATGTATCATACAGCGTATGCCTGAATACGGTCAGGTCAAGTGAATAGATATCGAATACATAGCGGGACATGGGCGATTTCAAAGAATGCGTTTCCTTCCTGTTGATACACAGGTACGCCATATTTAGATACGCGCGCGTGATCGAAGATGCATGATCGCTTATACGTTTTATAAGTAACGTACCACGCTAATGAGTCACATCGTGATTACGATTCCATTCATGTGCCGCGACGAATCCGCGAGAATGTCGCGCGTAGCCGCGACAAGTGGGAGACTCACGATACAATAATCGTCAGGATTGCAATCAACAACGAGCATTCCATGTTGGCTTTACATAAATTCATGTATTGTTTTTACATGATCTAATCGAGAGATTCAACAAAAATTTTAAAATAAACAGGTGTGTGCATGCGCGCGCGCGTGTGTGTGTGTGTGTGTGTGTGTGTGTGTATTATGTAATATCTAGACCGATGTATCATTCGGGCAATAGGAAAATTCGCGACTATATACAAGAAAGAATCTTAATTTTATTAAATAATCTCGAAAAATCATTTCTAAAATCTTTGATTCCCTTTATCAAGAAGCAAAGTGACGTTAAATAATGTTTCAATGATGTTTTATTAACATTAGAAATGTTATTAAGATGTTAATAAAACATTATTTGATATTATCTTGTTTGGATATGTGCCATTTACCTTTATACCGAATGCATCTGAAATATTATATACATTATATACATACTATACCATATACATCTGAAAATGTAGCAATCGAAAGCTATAAAAATATTGAAAATAATTAGTGTTCTGTCCAAGAGAAAAAATGAAAATATCTCGTTTTAGAAGAAGACATCCTAGACATCGTAGACAAGCTAGAGTTACGAACCATTACGTCCATTTCCGTAGGTAAACACTTGGTGCTGGTGACAGATCCTGAAATTGCTGAGGATGCATACGCCTTCGACAATCCCTGTTTCAAAGACGCCACACCTGCAGCGGTCGGTCGCGTCACGGAGAGACCGTCATCGACTGTACCAGGAGACACGCCCGCGAAGGATTCCACGCGATGGTCCACGCCTTGGACGTCCCTGGGCCTCGGTTCGGCTATCCGCAATGATAAACGCCGAACTCTCGATGATTCCTGCGT